ATGATGGCCGGCAACTTCATGAACTCGATTGGCAATGTAGTCCTTTCTTCTTTTTGTTTTCAGAGCCAAGCACCGCACGCCAGAAATCCGGCACGGTGCCGGAATACTTAAAGCCAGGGGTGTCAAACTAATTTTCCTCCCGGGCCACATAAGCGTTATGTCTGCCCTCGAAGGGCCAGTTTTAATTGTAAGACTGTATGATTGTAACAACTTCTGAACATATTGTTAAATAATTGTCTTTGCATTTGATTATTATTTATTCTATGTACAAATATTGTGCATGCCTTTACCTTAAAGTAAAATTCATGTAGCAGGGCTCCAGACTGATTTTTCCAATGGTACCAACTTTTTTCGTTGGTCGCACCAGCTAATGATTTGGGACTCCTTCTGAATCTGTATTTTGCACTGAGCCTATGATTCTGTTTCGTATTTTCCTACTGAGAAGAGCATATGTCCTTGAAGATAATATGGCTGGTGAGAACCGGTTCACACACTTGGAGATAGCGGAAACTCCTCTGTTCTATCAGATAGGATTGTTACTTAAGCTACACGCCGTACCAACAACATCCACACATGTTGCTTACCAAATATCAAGGACGTGGACAGAGCGCAGAAGAGGTAGGCCTGTCCACGCCATTAGTAACTGGCCAATTAAACTCGGGAGTGTACAAATCTTATCTATGTTTGGGGCAGGCCCAGCCCAAGAAGATATCTGGAACCTGGAACTGAAAAAACTCAGTTCAGCTGGACATGAGATTCCTCTCTGTCCCTCTGAATCCAGCGCTGCAAAACTTTACCTGTGACCTAAATAAATTCTACATCTGAGAACTGAAGACTTCTCCCGCTTGTTCTTGGGCTTCCAACTAAAGAATCGAGTCTTAACACGCTCCAAGCTCTAAAATGCAACACGGCTCAACTGCGCCCCCTTGAGTATTTCAACAGAGTCCCATCGTGGCTACATTTCACCTACAACTACGAAATTTGCCACCCACATGTAACAACTCATGTCACACAAAAACGTCCATTAGCATGTTCAATGATGACATCACCATCACAAATTTGTCTCTAGAATCTTCTTCTTTGAAATGAAATGCTTTTAATATTATTATTAGGGTCCGAGCACTAAAAGTGCTCCGATCTACCCCAAACTCGACATGCCGAATCAGAGTCCCGCCCAGAGGACATTTGCGCCACATCCCGACGTGCGTGAAGCCCGACAAGCGTATGGCGAGGACCCATCCATCGCCGCTTGCGGCTTTAATTGTTTTTGTAAATGTTGATCAATTACTGAATCAACATGCTTTACTGAACTTGCACAACATCCAGAGGGTGCAGTTAATTGTAAGGCTTTAAATCTGCACTAGTTTCAAAGACAAACAAATCATTACAAAGTTACAGTGTGTGATGTGTTGACCCAAATGGAATAAAGAGATACTACATGTTGTCTTGCGCTTATTTTTGCTCTTACATCAGAGGTGCAACATGGAAGTTGAGGAGCACCACTCAGACATCTCAGACATCCAGGGTGAATTCCAGCCTGCTCCTATGGGTGCAGGTGACATGGAGGCTGTGAAGGCTCTGATGTCCATGACTAAGCACTGGAAGACGAGGAACTTCAGGCTGCAACACTTCAGACCTTTAACTCCGTCCTCTGACTGCTCAGAGGACGACTCAGTGCCTGTTGGTTCTCCTTTGGTAAGTAGTTCATGTGTAGACTCACAACTTTTTAGCTTTTTTATCTCAAAGCCAAATCAAGGTTTTTGTATAACCTGGCCTTGATAATGGAATTATGCACAGTTTTATTTCTGGTGTTGTATTGCTTTGTTACTTGGATTTTATGATTAACTTGCATCAACTGTAGCCTTTTAATATAACATCAGTGGTTAAGTTATACTACTTGTCTGCATGTCGGCATAGAATTAATTTCAAGCTTTATTGGACAAATGAATAATAACTTGCGTTTCCTTTCAGTGCATGACACCACCGTACAGCCCACCACACTGTGAGGCTGCCTATCCACCATCAGCATTGAAACTACACCAACTTCCAGAAGAGACTCCACTGCACAAACCCACTGCTGTTTCTCAGCAGAAGTTTCAGTGCACCAGTGTAATCCGGCACACTGCAGAATGCCAGCACCGCTCCTGTTATGTTCATCGCGTCTCGAAGGAAAACAAACCTACTTGGGTTCAAAAAGAAGCTTCTAAAACAGATATAAACTCTGAAGATGGGCTGATTAGTAGAGGCTCTGATAAGAGTGTTGCAGCACAGAAAGCTTTCACTGAGACTTTGCCAAATGTGGTTGAATCCAGCCAGACCCAGATTAGTCTGTTAGGCCTGGAGGATAATTCCACATCTCAGTCTGTCCCTGCTGGTGATGCTCAGGTCTCTCCTGTGCCTGTCTCCTGCCAGATTGTTTCTATCTCTTCTCCTTCCCCCGCTGTTGTGCAACAGCCTGTCAAAACCTCTGAGAGTCAGCAGCAACACCTACCGCTGGCCCCGTCAGCAGTCACCACCGTGCATGTGCCACTACAACAGCAGCACAAACAAGAATATGCACCACCACAAACCCACACCGCTTCTCCTGCACAGGTCTTCTTTGTAGGGGGTCAGGTGTCGAAAGGTCCCCTAATGCTCCTTGTCCCTCAGCCATCTGTTCCTACTCTCTACGTTCAGCCGGCACTGGTGACCCCTGCTGGCACCAAGTTAGCAGCCATTGCCCCCGCGCCAGGTCGAGCCTCATCGTTACAAAGACACACCCCACGGCAGCCAGAAGTGTCCCGAGTACGCAGTCATGTCTGTCCCCATGACGACTGCAACAAAACCTACTTCAAGACCTCCCATCTCAAGGCCCACATGAGGACGCACACAGGTAAGCAATGAAGGATTTTTTAAAAAAAGACTTAAAAAGTGTGTGCATTTTAATGATAGTGTAATTTTCTCAATGCTTTGAAAGAAACCAAAAGTCAGCATCACACGCAAGAATGTGCCACAAATGTGATCTTGTTTTAGTATTGAACAGTTCTTATTGGATGATGTTTAGAAAATTTTTCAGTTTCCATTCTTTCTGTTGAAACAGGTGAGAAACCCTTCAAGTGCAAGTGGGAGGGATGTGAGAGGCAATTTGCCCGGTCAGATGAACTGTCACGCCACCGGCGAACCCACACAGGAGAGAAAAGGTTTGCCTGCCCCATGTGCCTGAGCCGCTTCATGCGCAGCGACCACCTGGCCAAGCATGCCCGACGGCACCTGGCAACGAGGAAGACACCCTGCTGGACTGCTTCCACAATACTCAGTGTCACTTCAGTAAAGTGTCTATGAAGCATCGTGGGAGCGACAAACCGTGAAATCAAGTGTGAGACTTTGTTTGGCTGGAACTGATTGCTCTGAGGATTGTGCCACTGATTTTTACATGTCACCAGTCTGCTGATAATAAGGCTGTTGTGCAACCTCACTGAACTGACAGCAGAATTAAGCTGCACGTAAAGTCTTTGTTGTCTCCAGATGATTTTAGATGAATATGAGAGAGGTAATGAAGCTGTTTACGTTCAACTTCTGATTACTGTATCACATTATACTAAGAAATGACACTGAATATGTCGATAGTCTTCTGTAACTTTCATGTTTTTATAGATCTATAAGATGTGTTTACATTTCAGTGATTTGACCAAAGAATGTTGGCTGTTGTTCTTTTGTGCCATATAAGAATGGATTTGCTAAGACATTTTTGCACAATGCTTTTTTTTTCTTGCAGGGAACATAGAATTATTAAACGTCAACAAGCATTTTGTATTATTTATTATTCTGATGTTTGTCCTGATCTTTTTTTAGTGTAGTATTTTATCCACTTTTTTTTTTTTTTTTACCAGCAATTACAAAGATTTAGAACACATCATTGTTCCATAATTCCCACATGGTTTTGACCCAGTGAGTGACTTAACTCCTTAAACCAAATCCCCTTTACTCCATGCTTACATGAAGAGGAGAATTGGATTAGGCTGTCAGGTTATGAAACTATCTGAGAGAGGGGTACTGATGTTAGTTATGTGTACAACAGCAGTAGGGCTTCACTGTCCAACATTTATGGTCTGTTTCTGATAATAAAACAAACACAGTGAATCACAGTCCCATCAATGAGGTGTTTATTACTGTTCATTTAGACAAGCACAGCTACAAGTTAATGACAGGCAAATGCCTGATAATTTATCATGCTTTAGACACAGATTGGGAAACAACTTCACAGATATGATACTTACTATGCAAGTATACTTGCACAGTCAGGAAATACTGTCATATTCTTTCAACACAGGAGATGCTGAAAAAATATTCTTTAAACAAATACAATATAAATATCAGTAGAAATAGAAAAAAGGTAACAGTTCTAGCATTATAAATTATGCTTTGTTCCTTTTTTTTTTTATTAATAAAAGGTCCCATTCCATGTCAGCTGATTCATTATCCATTCACACTTCCCATGTTCCATCTGCAGCACATGCTGTCAAACACACCTGCTTTGCTTTGCTATCTGCTGGCATAGTAGCTACCTGCCTTTCCTTAGCTCATCTTAGGGTCAAGCTACTCAGCACTTTGGAAAACATGCTCACACCAGTTTACTGGTGAACACTAAACATCTAGCTTTCAAACCACACCAGTGATAGACTGCGTTAATCATTTTTCCAAAAGTGGATGTCATGCTGACACTACACTGGATCACACGGGCTTCATTTACTGCTTCAAACAGAAGAGTAAATGCACCTTCATATGTGCAGCCATGTTAGGCTGCAGCTCCCGTTTTAAAACACTTAGGACAACAGATTTAAAATGTAACAACAGATTCAAGCTCTTGTCACACAAAATAAACTATACAACCAATTAAAATCATAAATACACAACTTGTAGCAAAGCTCCCTTTAAGATTTCAGAACTGTGATTCTGTTTAAAGACTCTGCTTCACTCAGGGATACATATCTTACTTTACAAGACTGGCAACAGCAAAGGAGATATAGATAATACATCTGTCAAATATAATCATTTAAAATCATTATATGTCTACTATGGGAGTGTAAACTGTAGTTCCATGGGGTGTCTTTTCTAGAGTCATCCATTTTGTTGCATACTAATTAACATCTACTTGGGTTTTGCAGGTCTAATCACATAAGCACTGTACATTGGGGATTTTGTGAGATGATTTTAGTCTGGTCCCAGCAATTTCAAGCACTACCTGCATAGTTGGATGAGTTCATCCCAGTGGAATGTGGTCCAAAGGAAGCTAGCAGCAGAAACCAGTCAGGGAAGTTAAAAGCATTCCTGGTCAGATGATTGCTAAGCTGGGACAGACAGCGCAGCCTCTGTTTGGCAGGAATTGAGAAAGTAAGGGACCAGTGAGAAGTTTTTCAGTGTAGCCTCATGGGTGACACCAGTGTCCTGCATCTCAAACCTAGTGGAAGAAAACAACAATTAGTCAAGAACAAAAAAAAAACTGCAATAAAAAAAAAACAATTCATGACTCAGATTCTTACCAGTCTCTCGAGGAGGTGACGTAGTAGACAGGGGGTGATGGTGAGTCAGTGGAGGTGCACAGTGGTTGACCCAGACTGTAGGCCCCAGCATGTGTGAACGTGAGCCAGTCTCCAATGTTGAGCTCAGGTAACAGACAGTGCTCCACTACCTGGTCCAGGTCATCTCCAGAAGGACCCCACAGGCTGCTGCTGAACACTGGAGCATCCAGGGATGTGTTCTGCAAACAAAGCATTAAAGATGAATCGTCATTCAGTGTAAATGTATTCCCTTGCTGGATAAGGTGTCTAAAAAAATACTTTTAATCAAAGCAAATGTGCGTATACATATTGAGAAGCATACAAAAAGAAAAGTTTTGCCAGTTTGACCCTCAAAAAACTCACCTTGTGAACAGATGGAGCGCTGATCAGTGTTTCAGTGAGTTTGCTGGCAAATGAACCATACACTCCCTCATTCATGTAGTACAGGAACTCTGGCTCCTCATTGGGAGATGGGTCATCTGTTAGAACCATAGAACCAGCAGGCAGGTTTTTATTTTGTTTCATTTTACAGTTTGTGATATACACATTTGTGCATTTGTTTTCAGAATATCTGTGCAGCTGACTGTCATATAGCCTTAGCTGTTTTGCAAATTCCTGGAATAATACTCCTCCTTTTTGGCCCTAAGTATGCTGTATAAAACTGCTGATAGTTACTTCTCGAAGGCAAATTGTCAGACAAAGTGATATTCTCGATGTTTTTTGTATGTAAATATGCCTCAATATCATTATTAAGTGAATATCACACCACTTACCATGTTCCTGGTCCTGGCGATCGCGTGCTACCACCTCCTTGGAGATGACGTTGACTGTCAGGGTGAAAGCGGAAGACACAAAGAAGCCGCCAGGTTCAGCAATGATGGAAACTCCAGTGGATGGAGGGAAGTATAGGTCTACCATAGACATGACAGCACTATTAACCTGAAAAACAGATGACAGTGTCCTTTAAAAAATTCCACTTAGGCATTGCTGAATTTGATCACATTCCTCTGAAAAGTGGTTTAAATAAGTACATATACAGTGACTACATTTTGCAGGTAAAATATATATACGACGGTACACTCTCAATATTGGATACAATGTTTTCGCTACCAGTACTTTTACAGATTACATAATACTGCATGGCCTCAATCAGAAACATGTCAAAACTAGATAGAAAGATACTGACCAGTTCCAGCTGGGTCTCAGAACCACTGAATCCTCCTCCAATGTCCAAGATTTTCATGTTGAAGCCAATTTCCTCCTGCAGCAGACCAAATATGTAAATATGTAACCAAGGCAAAATTATTACCAAAGCACTGACTGTTACTGGAGCTGTCCAAAACAAATGGTAGCTCCAGAACTGAGTGCAACTAGACAGGTGTCACCTAACAATGTTTAACATTACTTACTCCCATATCAAAGACACAACGGGCGTCAGAGATGGCATGAACATACACCTGGTCATCCTCACATGAGCTGGAAATGTGTGACCTGCGGGAAATAAGTGGCAACCGACACCTTAAGAGTAAGTTAAAAATTGTTCTGTGGCAGTAACGACCATACAACTTATTCAAGAGAAGAACAACCAGCACCATTTTTTCACAGTGCTTACCTGACCCCCACCACTTGCACACCCAGCTCCTTTGCACTCTCCAGCAGATGCCTGCAATCCTTAAGGGAACAGCCAAATGTCAGGCTCATCTCGTCATCCGGGTTAGATGCTTCTGTTGACACCTGCAGCAGTAGCCTGAATGAACACGCAGGAAATAAAGAACCTTGGTTACTGTTTTTCTGAGAATGAAAAAAATCCAAATGAGATTTATTACAAAGCTCAAGCATTTTTGCAGCCAAGGCTGAATTTTTTTTACATCTTCATTTCATATAAGCCTTTTGGTCATTGATGTAAAACAACTGACTGCTGCAATGAATGAATAGTGAGTAGTGACTGATAACAAGGCCAATTACTCAACAATTTTGAAACGGCAGCTTTCAAGTCACATGATCACTGGCACTAAAACTAGTACTTATCAGGGACCTACTTGGCGTTGGGGTGGCAGCGAGAAATCTTGCGTAGTTCTGCTTCATTATCACACACCAGGAGGTCAATGCCATTCTTAGCAGCGTATTTAATCTGGGAGACTTGTTTGCAAACACCACTGTAGATGATGTCTTCAGAGGGAATACCATGGTTCTGCAGCAGTTCAAGTTCAAACTGAAATACAAAGAGACAAAGGCTGAACTGTATTCTATTAATATACAACATATGAACAAGTGAACAGATATCATATTTATTCATCCAGCATGATGTGTTACACACCAATATTATATTGAATTAGAGTTTTATTTATATAGCACCAATTCACATGTCATCTCATAGCACTTTACATGGTAAGGTAAAGGCATATATTAAATAATATTTAAAATGCATGCTAATCACACGGCAGTGTCTTCACTATTCCAAAGATTCTGGACTAGGCTTAACAATGTTAAATCAAGTCAATGCACTACTGCTTGCTCTGGTAAAGACAGAGTTGGTACAAGGCTGGTAATGAGGGTGGTAAACTCCTTTAAAAACACACTAAGCAATTTTCAATTTTGTATGCAGGATTAAACAGTGCTCATAGCAATTTGTATTTACTTTTATTTTCTACGGAGAAACCCTGACTGACAACAGTGCCTAAAATGAAAAAGTACCTTATTTGTGCATATGAATCCAGTGCCAAGGGCACCAAGAACTTCAATCACAGCTGGACTGCTGTTGCATCTGACAGCATAGTACGGTCGAATTTGTGCCATGTGGGTTCGCCAGCGAACGTGCTGTCTCATTATGACTCCCAGGTCTGCTACAAAGAATGCATTCTTCTCAGACTGAGGAAGAAGGAAACACACACGTGGATGAGTCATCTAACACACTTAGACTATAGCCAAAGCCAACACCAATATCATTTCTACATTAGTTCACATTGCAAGCTGTCTGATGTCTTACCACAAGTAATAAACAATATATTACACTACAATTAGTGCTTTTGAGAAAATTCTAAAACAGAAAGAACTAAAGGTTTACTACTAAGTACACATTATTGGAGTTAAAGTCCATACCAGTGTTTGTTCATAAATGTGATTGTCAATCACATCACAGAGAGCTGTGCCTCCCTCCAGAAGGCCAACAGAATACTGTGGTTCATCAGCAATTCCTTTCATCCTCTCAACCGTTTTCTTCTAATCCGACAGGCATAAAGAATGTGGCTGGTCCAAAGTGGTCTCG